GAGGAACAATGGACGAGGCGCTCACGGGACCGTGGGCTCGATGCGTGTTGCATTTCGGTCGTTAAAAGCTCGTCGAAACTCGTTTAATTATTTTCACGCTGGTTCGGCTAGGCGCCTTGTTAGATCCGGCTAGGATAACGCGATGATGACCCCGGGAAAACTCATTATAGGTTTCCAGTTTCGAAAAGTGCCGCCCTGTTAGCGATTAAAAAAAAAAAAAAATGGTCGGCGGCGGTCGACGACGAGTGGCAGTGTGCCTTGCTGGTACCGGGACAGATAATAACCGGCACGGATGTACGTATATAGCGTTGCAAGTTCGTTAAGATCTCGTTATTACCCTTGGAAAGCTTATTTTTAACGGGCGTATCGATTTTACGCCGCTGCTTTGCATACTCCGCATCTCGCGAGCCCGATACGCGACTGTGTCCGTATGCCTCCTGAGACCGACCAATCAAACTTCGTAATTACATTTCCATAACAGGTGTCGCGGGTCAACAGTGCGGGGTCCACCAGTTTTATTTTATTCTAAGCAACACAAGTGTATCGTTTCGTTTCGTCCATGAGTTTCCTCCACTTTGCACGCGTGACACATTTCGCCTATATAACGTCACGGTGTCTGGAGAAATCAGGAAATTGCGAGATTGGGAGGGATTGGATTTTGTTCCGTCCGTTGCAACGTTGCTTTCCTGTAATGATGTTTTCAGGAATTGGATAACGTTCTTGGTTTCGATCTATTCGGAAAAATTTCTCGAAAATTTCGCATTAAATAATAAATAAACGGTAGAATTCAGAAAGAATTCAGAAAAAAAAAACCCGATACAACGAAAAATTTTCGTACCCACATATTGGTCGCACTTAACCTGGACGATCTTGTTGCGCGAAATTGCTTAACCCGGGCCGGGTCACGAGTTACGAAGGTTCCCCCGTAACAATAAAGACCGGCTGTCACAACCGGGCTCGCGATTTATTCGCTGTCGAGACGAGCGCCGCGTTAACTGGCCCTTTAAAAACACCTCGGACCGCTTGATCATGTCGGTTACGGGCGTTCATTGAAAATAACCAGATCACAAATTGGCGGTGGAGCCATCTTCCTCCCCCTCGGTACTGGATATCCCCTTCTCGTTTTCAGCCCCCGTCTCGAAAACCGAGGCGCTCGGTTCTCGAGGCGAAGGTGGCCGGCTAAATTATTGATCGGCGAGGAACGGGTTAATTCCTTTAAACGGAACAAATCGGGCGGACAAAACATTCCAATCCAGCCGAGGGATCGCGGATCTCTTATTGGCGGTGCGAGATCGTCGCTCCAGTTGTGCGCGGCTTGGACCCAACCGGACAATAATTCCACGGCCGTCCACCTTGCCCGTATTCCGGCCTCTCCGGAGCGGCCCTCGTTACACGGTGTAAAGATCTCCCCATATTTGATGTCATAATTATAATATTTACGAGCTGACACTCGCTACGTTTAAATCGTTTACGCGTGATGAACGACGAGAGCCCACGAGGCTTTACGCCCTCTATGCGTGCGTTTCGCGCCGCCACTTTTGGAGAACAC